GAGTTGCATGTTCCGGGCCAGTCGCCATTTTAGAAATTCACTAGCCCGGAGTAACTGCCCGCGTCTACACGCGGCAGTGAAACAGGAGTCCGATTTAAAGCCTCTAATTTGAATTAGCTGGTAAACCTCATTGCAGGAGGAATACCAGCTAATTCAAGTTAGGGCTTTAAATCGGACTCCTGTTTCACTGCCGCGTGTAGACGTGGGCAGTTACTTCGGGCTAGTGAATTTCTAAAATGGCGACCGGCCGGGAACATGCAAATCAAGAGCGGGATATTTAAATCCCGGGCTTGATTTGCAACTTCGGTATGCTTCATTTGCCTCCCTACTTTGAAGTAGGGGGCAAGTGTAGACATACCCTTAGTCTATAAGGTGCCACACGACTTCTCGTTGTTTTTGCAGAGTCAGGCTAACATGGCTGCCCCTCTGAGCCATTTTCTAATGTGTAAAGTGAGCTGGACTCACTGATATAATAAACATGGGAACTGCCCCCTGCTCCCAGATCTCCCTGCTCAGAGTCTCCTTTCATGGCATAGCCAATCAGGTAGTGCCCATCTAAGTGTTCCTATAGGTAGTAGCCTAAACCGGCCTGGGTCTCCTATGATGGAGCTCTTGAGTCTAGCAACTGCTCCCCTTCCCATAGACTCTACTGCATGAGTATGCTGCACAGCTGTGTTCATTTGGGCCATGTCTCCGTAGGTGGAAGAAATTCGAGGGTTCATTGATAAAATTTCTGAGAACGTGGAGGAGGTGAAGAGGAAGCACAGCGCTATTCTTGCGGCCCCCAACCCAGATGAGAGTGAGTAAGGCGTTCTCGGCTTTCTGCTGCCACAGGTCATGGGGTGGAGGAACATGGGTGTGCTCCTTTGTGGCATGAGGCTCAATCTCTTTCTTGTGTGGATGGAGAGGACGTGTGCAAAGAATTAGATGCTGGTGCAGTGCGGGGCTGGTCACACAGGCTGGAACGGAACCGGTGTGTGGTGTAAATCATAGCATCCTAGAGCTGGCAGAGCCGTCGGGCGTCTTCGAGTCTGGCCCCCTGCCCCAGGCAGGGCCAATCCCAACAAAGTAGTCGCCAGCTGAGGTGCGAGGTGCCCATGGAACCGCTAGAAGCCACCTGGGGAAAAGAGAGATGGGGCTGGGATGGGCAGCTAGGAGAGGGGCTGTCGGGGGCTCTTTCGGCTGGTAGGAAAGGAGATGAGCAGGAGCACAAGGAGCATCTTACCACTGGTGCAGAATGATTCTGTGCCTGAGCCTGGGGATGGAGTGAGGCTGCAAAGAGCAAATGTCCCTTTTCTTCCAGGTGAGCTAGAAAACAAATGTGATTGTCTGGTTAGACCCAGAGCTTGCACTTGTGCCCCTTCGGTGTCAGCCACACCACTGCCACCTCCAGTCTGGGCCATGCTGAGGACACGCAGCCTCCTAAGATGCTGGGGAAGAGAACAAATGGGAGAGTTTAATTGAGAGAGCTGGTGATACACTGCCTGCTCACTCCCTGGCAAGAGCTCCTCACCATGGAGGCTGCTAAAGGCGAATGAGGCCAGATTTTCATACCATGGGCACAGCCTGAGAAATCATGCAACACTTTCCGTGCCTCCAGACGTGCAGCCTGGGCATGTGGCTGCCTTGAGGAGCGTAGTCTCTGAAAAGAGAGTAGAATAAGTGGCTGGAAGGAAGGACCCCTGTGTTCTACTATCCCTTCTGCTGCCTTCCTGACTCGACTGTAGCTCTCATGAGGAGTGGCTGAAGCCATCAAGATTCAATAAGAACTGATCTAAACCTTATTCTGGCCCACAACCTAAGCCCTCTTAAAGGTTGCCTGAAATTCTGTTTTTCTCTGGCTTGGTGCCTGACCCTGTGGTCTCTAAAGCCACGTGTACACTATGAGAGAGTTTGAATTTATTAAGGTCAATATTTTAGCATCCGATTTCATAGTCGAAGGTGCATGTCCTCGCTGTGCGCAAGAGTTTGACGCAGTGCATTGCCAGGAGGGGGCTGCCCTCGACTCTGACAGCGAGGTATGGTGGGTAACTAACCCACAGTTCCTGTCGCCCCTTTGCATTCTGGCTTAGGCTTCCGGTGCCTGATGGGACAAAGGCAGTGAATTGGGGTTTCTGGGTACATGTCGTTAGATGTCCTCTCGTGTCTTCACTTTGTTTCCCGGCACGCTTTCCTCTCCTCACGCTCCATTCACACCTCCTGCAGCAGCGTTCTCCTCCCTCACTGAATCACGCCCTGTCCAAGCGTGCAGATTGAATATGTTGTCCCAATTACATTTTCGCCTTCAGATCTGTGCAAGCCAAACAGCCAGGGGAGTGGGCCACAGGCTCGTTGTGTTGTGTACAAGGCCAAAGTTATACTTTAAGCACCCACCATGCAGCAAGTCCAGCACAGAGATCTGAAGGGAACGCTGGACTCGTTTGGCGGCAGGCATGATAAGGGAGTGGTCGGGGCTCACTCTTTTGCATTCGCTTTGAAAGCCTGTGTGACACAGTGCCTGCAAATAGCAGCAGGGCAAGCCTCTGCCTTGCAAAGGAGGGCCACGGTGGTGTGGCAGCAGGGCATGCAGGGGCTCACGTGGTGACCATGTGATCTGAACCCACTGTTGGCTGGGAGAGTGCAACTTTCCCTTCCCACAGGAGCCTGCGGGCGGGAAGTGGGTCCAGACATGGCAGAAGGACAGGGTCTCAAGTGGACACTGAGAAACCCGTGGGGAGAGGAGGGCCAGGTGTGGCGGCAGAGGCTAATGCAGTAAGCAAGCCATGCTATGTTGGGGATGAGCAAATGGAGATGTATTGCCTTGGTGGAATCCATTACGGAGCTTCCCCTGCTTCATCTAGGTGGTCATGCGAGATACCAGTCTTCTCTGAATCCCACAGGGGATAGGGAGCGGAGGCTGACTGAATGTGTCCAGAAACCTGGACCCTATGCTGCAATGCTTTGTGCTGCAGTGACCCCAGACCACTCTCTGCTGGCTTAGCATGGACAGGTGTCCTACTGTGGAGGACAGAATAAGGCAGCTTCCCTGGAAACCTTGTGAGAAGGATGAAAGAGAACCTCTGTGAGAGCTTCATGGGGATGTACAGGGAGGATTCCCGCCCCCTTTCCGGACACCTTAGCAAGCTGTCCTGGGAAGCCCCCATGGTGCAGGCAGAGTGGCTGCCACAGATTACGCCCAATTGCCATAGCCCACTTGCAGCATGATGAAAAACATGAACTCACCAGCAGTGCCGTCCGCACCCTCAGGGCCTGGCAGCGAGACGTCCTGGAAGGGAGGGATCGTCTCCAAAGTTCTGGAAAGGTCCTGGGGCGGTGAGATCGGACGCTCCACTCGCCTGCTGACCGCTCTCCTGCTCCTCTTCCTCATCAACAATGTCCTCCCTGTTGTTGTCCTAGGCTGTTGTCTGAAGCGATTCTTAGGAGGAATCCATGGACAGTTCTGGAACGCTGGTTGAGTCCTCCCCCTAGAATCCCATGCAGCTGCTCAGAGAAGCGGCATGTTTTCAGCAACGACCCAGGCCTTCCATTTGCCTCCTTTGCCTAACCAGCGCAGAGCAGAGCGGAAGAATGACTTCTCGTGTCTTGCTCACCACACTCCTGTTCATGCATCTCAGAATCATGTTTGCTTTCTTTGCAACAGCATCACACTGTCGACTCATATTTAACTTGTGGTCCACTATGACCCCTAGATCCCTTTCTGCCGTACTCCTGCCTAGACAGTCGCTTCCCATTGTGTGCGTGTGAAATGGATTGTGTCTTCCAAAGTGGAGCACTTTGCATTTGTCCTTATTAAACTTCATCCTGTTTACCTCAGACTATCTCCCTAACTTGTCTAGATCATTTTGAATTATGACCCTCTCCACCAGAGCAGTTGCAACCCCTCCCAGCTTGGTATCATCTGGGACTTTTGTCCACAAAACCATACCTGCGTCTACACTACCGCTGAGTTCTGTTGACAGCAAGTTGACAGAACACGGCAGTTTTGTCGATGGTGGTAAACCTCATTCTACGAGGAATAACGCCTTTTGTCGACAGAGTTATGTCGACAGAGGGCGCTATTGCATCCACACTGTGCTTCTTCCAAAGAGAGCATCTCGACTCTCTGTCGAAAAAGCGGCTTGCTTTGTTGACAGAACTGGCTGTAGTCTAGACACTCCTTTTCGACAGAGGCTTTGTCGACTGACAGTATCTGTTGACAGAGCCTGTCAACAAAAGCCTGTAGTCTAGACGTACCCTAGCAAAGAGAAGGCGGTACATACAGAGGAGCTGAACTGTCAGACGCCTGTCTGCTCAGCCCCAGTTTTGCTGTGGCTCAGTGGACAGGCTTTAGGAAATCTGAACGGGGAAAAGCAGCCTGTGATTTGCCTTCCCCCAGTGAGTGTGTGGGGCAGCTGTTCGGCACAGCTTGGTGGGATGCAGCTGGGCTTGCTGCCATGTGCTCCCTACAGGCTCTTCCATATGCTACTAAGGTATAGCTGGCAGCACTGAGAGAAATGCTCCTGTTTTGAAAAGACCCTGTTCAAGCTGTGGGGTTTCAGCCTATGTGCTCCCTGCACTGCTACTCCCCACCGAACATAAACCGGTGAGGAGTTTCATTTTCCAAACACTTGCCCTCCAGATCTCTCTCTGCTGCTCACCAGGACTGTGGGGAGAGCCCTGGGGCTGCTGGAGGGTTGAGCCTTGTTCTTCTGGACAGCGCTTAGCATCAGATCCCTTGTCAGGAGGGCTGCTTGGGAGAAGGCTGTTTTGTCAAACCATGGGAAGCGTTTTACCTCTGGCAGAAGAGTACCGTTTACAGACCTGATTGCAATTGTTCCTGACTCCTTTACTCTTCTCCTTCTTCCTTTTGTTTCCATCCTCCTCCCATTGCTCTACAGTACACACACTCTCTTTGCTCATTTCTGGCTGCTCTATTTACAGTGTCAAGTGCTGAGACACCCAGGTCCTTAATCCCTAATTACACCTCAATTAACATTCACCCAGCTCTCAGCCTGATAATGCAATTCCCCCATGTCCTCACATTCCTAGAGCGATCCCTCACCTGCCACCTTGGCTTCCTTGTCAGCGTTGCAATGTGAGATCTCGCAGTAATTACGTATGCACATCTTTCTGAGAGCTCTGCTGTCTTTCTACCCCACAGCGTGAGGCTCAGTGCAGGACTCCTTGGGTCGTGTTTCCTGGACCTCACAGTACAGGAATCTGATCAGGCTGAGAGTGGATATTGGGAGGCAACCTCTGGACAGGGGGCTGTGTGTGGCCTGAGACACGTTTTGTTTGCCGTTGCCCATATGCAGGCCTGCCGGATTCTGGTTATTCTGGCTGTGCAGTTTTTTTCCTACCAGTATTAATAAAGTGTCACACAAGTAAAGCAAGGGCATGTGAAGTGAGACGCGTGCTGCTGATTGACTAAGAGAGCCATGTGCTCCCTCTGCATCCACAGTCCTGCTACGGTTCCGTCAGCACCCCCCGCAGATTCTCTGTGACTACCCTCTCCTGGGAGACCGTCTTGGTTAGGACAGTCTTGTGGCCCACTGAGACAGAGGGCCACTCACTAGCCTAGGTAGTTCATGGACAGTTTATGGCAGCCCAGAGTTGGGGATGGGACTCTGAGACGTGCCAAAGAAATCTGAGCATGTCTCCCATCGTCATTCCATGGATGTCCTAGCATCCTGCTTGCCTGGGCTCCAGTCTGTGTCTTGGTAATTAGTGCAGTGGCCACAGGTGTGTCAAAGACCCAGTGCTTCTCCATTCCACTCGCACCTTAGAGGGCAGGGCAAGATGCTGCTTTCTGTGCTGTCC